AATACCTGTAACACATGAATTCAAAATACCTATGTGTATAAACATTGATGGGACTTCTTTATAAAATATCAGTTCTTATTTTCTTATTCTCCTGTTGATGCAAAAGAAAAACATGCAGTGAATTCAAAAATTCTATTCATGTTACAAATTGGAATCTTTACAAAGCAAATATTTTGATGTTTAAAATTTGTAAGACTTCTGGAATTAATAGACATGAATAATTTGATTTGTAATTTCAATCTTGCTCATAGAATGCATTTCTTATATATATATATATATAATATATATGTGTGTGTGTGTGTGTGTGTGTATAAAGAGTTTTCACACATGTACACATATATAATTAATATGAGTAAAAGTTTGTCACTTAGGTGATTGATGTTATATATATATATATATATATATATATATATATATATATATATATATATATACATACATACGTTTTTCAAATATATAAATGTATACATTGATGAATGCATCTACAGACAAGTACATAAATATACATGTATGTATGTGGTCATTTTCATTTCTATTACAAGATATATATACACGTATAAACTAAGTTATTAAGGTAAATATAATTGTACAGACATTCTTGTATTTATTAATATATATCCTCCTGTGACAGTTTTAAATATATTTATTTATCTATGCATGTGTATTTAATATATATATATATATATATATATATATATATATATATATATATATATATATATATATCACTAGAACTTTTGAAATTAATCTCATGTTCATAATTCACTTTTTGATTTCAATAAACCTTAAGAAATAATAGTTGATATAATCAGATAAGTGTTATCAATGTATATTTAAATTACATTTTTTTTTATACCAAAACATTTTGCCAAAAGATGTATATATATATATGTGTGTTGGGGTTAGCTGGTTGAAATCAAGTAAACAATATTAAACATATTATAAAAGTTAATAACTTTAGCATATGTTCTAAGTACAAATGAAATGTTAATTATGTAATTGTGCTTAAAAGCTTTATATATTATTAATATAAAAGTATAATATTTAATATATAAAAATAAAATAGTATTATAAATATAAAATAACTCTGCATATGCATAAATACACATCTGTCTTATATTTCAATATACAACTTCATTTACATGTAACATTTTTCACAATAACCAGTTGTAGAAGACAAAACAGAACAAAGGAATTTGTTGAGTATTAGAAGCATAAATTCCTAACTTTTGGCTCTTTTTCATTATACCTTGGTTACCATAGTGACCTTGCCTCCCCCGATAGGGGATTTTAGTCCACAAAAATTGATTTTGAAAAAAAGTTAATGATATCCTTAATACAGATCATAAGAGTTAGACACTAAATAAGGATGTTATTCACTGATAATAATTTGTAAAGTTTATCACTGCTTAATGACAATTGCTTTTGTCTGTAAATACTGACCAGAATGAATGAAAAATAAAGAAATAATGGAAAGAAGAGAAAGAATTTGAAAATAATTGTATGAATTATCATTAATTTTTGTAAGGGTTGAAAAATTAATTTTATTACCAATGGACATTATCATCAATACTAACTGGTTTTAATTCATATTAAATTTATGATGTTGAATTATTTGTCTAAGCCAAAATATATGTTCACAAAATAGAAAAGAATTTCTACAGAGTTATTGTTTTAATAATGCCTATTCAATGAATCGTTAAATAACCATTTATATTAATTGAGTGCTCGGCAAGTTTGATGAGGTTATTCTTATTTGACATTAGCATGAAAATGAAGACTATTAGAATACAAATCCATTCCTAATTCTTTTGTATTAAAATAATCCATTGGTTTAAAGGAACAGTTAATCTTCATAAAAGAAGTACATTTCTTCAATGTTTTTAATAGACATTAGAAACTTTATCAGTTTTTGCTAAATAACATTTACAGGCACAACATAAGCTAGTAATAAAGATTTTTAAGTCTGAGCATATATTCCACAGTATGACTTGACTTTAGAAGGTAATGATTATGTAATCAAGTCACAATTTTCATATATATATATATATATATTTTACAATTAGACTAATGGTCTCTTAATTCCAATTGTAAGAGAAATTTTGCTCTGTGTAATGAAAATAAACAATGAGCACTCTTTGTGAGTCAGTTTTAACATTTAATATTTAATATTTAAAATTCTATATTGTGTAAATAGGACTTGCTTGGATTATACTAACAGATTACTACATATATATATATATATATATATATATATATATATATATATGGACAAATGAGAGAAAGAACACATGGAGTAAAATTCCACTGTTCATAGCATTTACTTTTAAAAAAGTGCTCAATATGAAGTAGAGCAATATGTTATTATTGTTTTTATTATAAGAGATTATAATAAAAAACATGTTGAAATCACTACACAAAAGCTTTCATGTTCAATACTTTGATTGTACTTCTTCAGGCAATGGTAAGTAACTGGTGATTAAACGATTTTAAGAAAATTTAAAAACAAAGTGTTACCTCTTTTTCAAAAGTTAAAAGTGGTCAGAATTAAAAATAGACTTGTGGGTATGTCTTGATTAACCAATTAAATGTCAGATCTGCACTAAATAGAAAAGTAAATTCAGAGGATGGAGGTGGGCGAGTTATTTTTTCATGCTATGATAAACCAGAACATAGACAGACCATCATAGACAATTGCGGAATTATGTATATTTATATGCATTTATATATATGTATGATTATATGGCTTATATGTATTTATATATATGTATGATTATATGGCTTTAACTATGAAGACATAAAAAAAAACAACCATTTCCAAAAATCATTCCTATTGCCTTTCTGTTTAGTTGGAGATCAGATGAAAAGCTTTATCCTGAGATAAATGTATTCTCTCTCTAACCAACATTTTGAATAAAACAAGAACAACTAAAATGAGTCTTGAGATGTGTTTAATCAGCCCTACTGGTAAATAAAGAAGAAGATACAGAATATATTATTATAAGGAGCAATTTTAACATCATATAAGTAGGTATTGAAAAATTATATTACTGATTTTGGGAAATGGATCATATCAAAAAACTTTACAGCACATCTCTTATATATTTTTTAAAATAAATTCATTATCATCATAAAATTTGGCTTATGAATTATCACTTATGGTATACTTATCCTTTAAGTGGTGAGTTAATCTATTAAAGTAAAAAAAATAAGTGATGAATAAAATAATGTGAGATGTGCAGGTGGTGTAATAGTGACTCAGAAAGCAAAATCAGCAAGCCATATTCAAATTTCATTTCAGTTCATTATGTCCACTTTTGCACAAATAACCTTGGGAAAGTTATGAATCCATCACTGCTCCCTCTGGCTATAGATTAAATAGTAGGGCTGACTGGACTCTATTGCCTTGAGGTGGCAGACAGTGAAAGAGAAAGAAAACTTTGAATTCAAAATCAGTCTGAAGGGAGATGATCTCCCATCAAACTATATTTGCTCTAGACACATCTCTATTGTTATGGCTGCAATATATATGATGCTCCAATGACTCTAATAAATTATAGGACTTATGAGGTGACATGACAAAAATAAATTAAAGACTTATATTTACATGGAAATTAGTGATTACAAAATAATACATAGTAATAAGAACTAGTATAAACATTTATCTACTATTTATGAGACTGAAAAGAATTTATCCTGTGATATAATTTGGTTAATTTCAACTTATTTTGTATGGCTTATAACTTTGAGAAAAATTATTAACATTTAAAATTTTGTTCAGACAATTGAACTCCTTGTTTATGCTATAATGTTTCAGTTGTTTCATTCTTCAGCCTTCATCAGCTGTACAGGATTAACTTTATATCATATGAGCCTCATATTTTTGGTGGTTGCACATTAATTACTTTCAAGCTGACTGCGTCTGACGATCAGACAGGGAGCAGCATCTTTAATTATTCATAATTTCATGAAACATTATAGCAAGTCCATTAAATCTACTCCAGTATTTCATTAGAATCATTTTGTTTATATTTTTATGTGTTTGTTTATTATGCTGATAGAAGTTAAATATTTGCCAGTTTTATAGGTTCTATCACTATATTTGTCAATAATTTATGGTTTAATATTTACACATATTTTTTTAATGTTATTTAGAGAACCTCTATAATATATTCTACAGGCTTGGCACTAGCTTAATCCTACCCAGTTCATCAAATGTATAATCCATAAATAAAAAGGGAAAAAAATTGTCTTTTTTATTTATTTTCAGAATAAATAATAATTTTGTATTTTGCCTTTATTTGGGTGCTGAGTTATTCATTTGGGTATAGTAAAATTAGTACTTACATTTACATAAAAATTAGTAACTGCAAACTAAAGCAAACCAATAAGACCAAACAATTTTTTAAAACTTTTTCCTAAGATAAAGGTTGAAGAATGCATCAAGTAAAATGTTTGTGGCAACATGGTAACGCCATCAAGAACATGAAGGATGAGTTCAATTGTCTGAAGAAAATTTGGAAACTTATTTTGTGTTTAGGGAATTGTTTTGAAGAAATTCTTGGGTTATTTTGCTTATCTACAGTGTCTGCTGTCAAACAAGCAACCATTATTTTGTCCTTGCTTGATAAAATCATTTAGGCAAAAAGAAAATAAAATAAAACTAGTTACATTATACCAGGTGATATGTTTTATCTATCTAAACTCATATTGAAATGAAGACAATCAGAATGAAAGACAGATAAGAGTTCTTTATCCACTTCTCTTCAGTATGCATAATTATACTCCCATGAACTCAGACAATCAAAGCTATAGTGTGGATGTATGTATTTGCATATGCTGGGAAAAAACAAAGCAAAACACAAAAATATAATATGAGAAGAGTGATACAAACAAGTGAATTTTGGTAGATGTGTACTTTTTCCATTCTTTTTGGTGGCCTGTTATTTCTGCAAGAACAAAGAGACAAACTGAGAAACAGACATATTCATATTTTGCAGAAATCAATGAATGTAAAATAGACAATGGAAACTGCGGTCATAAATGTGTGAATGATGAAGGCAGTTATCACTGTGAGTGTAACTTTGGCTACACCTTGCATACAGATGGACGTACCTGTCTATGTAAGTAACAAAAATGTCACTTTATTTTTTTTGTTCTCTTTCTTATTATATTCTGTTAGTTAACCCATTAATGTCTCTCATCACATTTTTTTCAATGGTGGGCATTAATAGAATATAGGCAAAAGCCTATAATTAATACATTTTTATAAATCTATAATTAATACTGGAATTTTTATGAATCTATAATTAATATCTTAATTAATATAATATTTTTCTTGATGAAATCTAAAGAAGAATCTGCAATGATCTGGAATCTTGAATTCAGCCACTTTACCACTGCCATAATGTAGCTTCCCTGTGCCTTTTCTATAAATACTTTCATGGTAATTGTTCTAATGAAATTTCCTCTATGGTGCCTAGACTCTATGAATTTAACCACAGTATTATATTGGTGGCAATGTCTTATCATTTTATAGTTGAAATGGCTAGATGTAACCATAAGCTCTATGCTAACATTTTCTTCTATCACACTTCTCATTTTCTTGACTTCTTGCTTTCCAGTTAACTTTGATCGTCAAAAATTTAAATGCAATGTTATTATCTTCTGTCTTCTTAATTCTTGTTCTTTTATTGTTATCTCTCCTTAATACTGTTTCTTCATGATATTCTCTAATACTCATTTACCCCTTGCATCTTAGTGGCTTTATTACCTTGCTTAGGGTGAAATGATAAAAAAGAAAAGAAAAAATACCAGAATTTTATTTTCATCATAATTAACACCAGATTTTACCATAGACATTAATGGATTAACTGGATTAAACAAGAAATATTAAATATATTGTAAATAATGGAGGAGTACCTGACCTTGTTTCTGAGAACACTTTTCTTTTCACTCAAACTTTATGTATGAACAAATCTACATTCATTTTTATATGTCATCAATGAATGTAAAATAGACATAGGTGATCATCAGCCCCCACTTCTTCTTGTCTTTTGTTGCTTATAATTCACCTTTGAGCCTTTAGCCTCCTTGTTCCTGTTTTTCATCCATTCACTGAAATTCAGGGAGTAGGTAACTCACTGACCCCCACCCAGGCCACTCTTGCTTCCAGTATCTCCTGCTGTCAGGATTAAATTCTCAAGACCTTTTTGCCTTGATATGGGTACCAGAAATTTCAGCTGTCTGAAAATTTTATAGTTTTCTCAAAAATGAATTTTTCAAGGATTGTGTTGATTTTAAGACAAAAAAAATCAACATATTTATGTAAAGAATGAATAATTACTGAATCAGAAATCACTCATGAAAAATCATATATTATCAAAGATATTGTAATTTTTAAGGATTTATTGTCAAAACTCTTTTGATCAAAATCTCTAATACAATTAATTCAGAAATTTCAGTCAATGCTATAATTAATGTTTAGCCAGTATTTGGGTTTTTCTTGCTTAAAATTACATGTATTTGTAGTCATTCTTTTAGAATTCATCATCCTATTGTGGAACTAAGTGAGTTGAATTTTTACTTATAAATATTTGGAAGGTGTCATCCTTTCTTCCTGGATTTGCTTTTAAGTTTATAACTAACTTATTTACTATAAATGCAATAATTAAATTAATATTGAAACCTCCTGTTTAAATTATAGAGAAAAATAGTATTACTTTTAACATTGTAGTGTTATATATAAAAAACTGACATGTTCCTCATAATTACTTAGTGTACCTATTCAGTCCTATGAAATCAATTCACTGTCATCAAAGCAAATATAATGTAAATAAGTAACAAGAGAGAAATACACCAGGAAATCTAGACTGAATACACAAAGAAAATTCAAACTGATTTCATAGTATTATTATTATTATTATTATTAAACAAACAAAATGATTGATGTAATTCTTCCAATATTTTTCAACACTTAGAGAAGAGTGCAATTTAAAAAAAAAGAAAAGACAGCAATATTCAACATTCAAAGTTCAGCAATATTCCAACAGTATATCTATCTTTTTCATGTTGTGTTTAAAAATTGGATACATGTATAAAAATATAAAAAAAAATTACAAGTCTTAATATAAACATTGTTTGTCTTGAGAAAAAAACAGTTGTACTCATAATCAACATGTCAAAATGAATGAAACGCAATCAGTGTGAATGGCATGCAACTGAAATGTGTGTAACATGATGATGATTGTGCACATCTTGAAATTTTCAGTTAGTTGATTAGTCAGTAAAAACAATTAATCAAACAGTTTAGTATAAATCCTATGGAACTCTGCCATCATTTTGTTCATTCCCCTGGGGTTGGAGCATTAGTAGTTTGTATATGTAACTATCCTCATGCATTTTTTAAGGGTCGAAAAGTCAGTGGATATTGAATATTTTTTCAGAATGTACACCATATGATATTCATTGAAATTACAGTCATTTGTAATAAAATGTTCTGCAAGTTTTGTTGATGTCACATTTTTGTGTCTGATGTCATACCTGTGGCCATAAAATCTTTTGTTTAATTTTAATTAAATTCTGAAAAATTATCCAGAATCCACCAAACTTTCAACCCTTAAAACACATGAGGATGGTGCTTTATTGTTATTATTATTATTATTTTTGTTGTTGTTGTTGTTGTAGTAGTAGTGATGATGATAATCGTCCTCCACCTTCCCTCCACGGTATTGTTGCTTTTTATCACAACACTCATGATCAATACATTCTTTGATTGCTAATGTAAACAGCAGATAACTAGAAGTAAAAGCTGAGATTTGAATTTGCATCAGAGATCTTAAGAGCTCAACCTTTATGGGTGTGACCTTATTTCTGAAACTAAAACTGAGAGAAATCATTATGGATACATTATTACTGTTTTATGCTTCCATACTTCAATTGTTTCAGAGCCTTTTTAACTTTGGTCATTGTTAAGAATAGAAGAGACAAATTGTCCACTAGAAAAATAAATTTTAGATTGTGTGGAGGAATTTAAAAAAAAAACAACAAAGACAGCAGAAATTAAAATTAAAAAGTAAAAATAACAGAATAGTTATGGCCTTAAAAATGATCATTTCTCTCGCATTAGTTATTAACTTTAGGGTTTGAAATGTGTATAGAAATGTAACAAATATTATGGAACAGAGTTAATTTTTTTCATTGTGTTCAAATGCTTTTTAAGAAGATTTTTATTTCTGTTGGAAAATGAATGCCAAAGAAATGCACTGAATTTCTTTTTTGTACAAATTTATGCAACTTCATCACATGGTAGAATTTCCTTCGTGTTTTATCAGTTTAGCGGTAGTCATTTATCTCACATATTGAGAGCTGCTCTACCCTTACTGCTTGGATATTTTTATAGTCTATGCTCTAGCTACGCTAATTAAGTGGTCATTTACATATCACTACAAAATATTGATGATGATTAGCCATAAATGATGAGAGTAACAATTTATAAAAGAAAATCATGTTTTATTCATAAGTGGGACAAATAAAAAAATAAAATCATTTCTTTTTACAAGCATCAAATTTTAATGAAACAAAAATATGAATATCATTTTTAAAAGACTAATTAAAATCCATCAATAATTTTTATATATAGTTTGTTATGGATGAGTACTGATTGCAACTGAGATAAGCTAAATAAACAAAAAATCATTTGCTTAAATTTTATACATTAAGTCCCTGTGTTGTGACAGTCCTGACTTATGTCGATTTGTGGTTACAACCCAATTTCCATTAATTTTGTTTTAAGTTATGCTGTTAGCCACATGCATATGACACAAATGGTGCAACAGAAGAATACATCAGCATTTTTTTTGTTAAATTACAAGTTGGTGAATTCCCAATAAAAATGAAAAACAAGCATGAGTTTGTTTTTCTTTCTTCCCTAGATTTGCTGCTGCTTCCAAATAGTACACAAGTGACAAGATCTTATGCTTCATTGTTTCAGCTACCTACAGCCAATGTCATCACTGACAATAAATATACAAGCAGCTTAAAACAATTTCATTTCATTATATGTATTATATTTATGTCCTCCATATTTGTTTTTTAGTTCTAATTATGTTAAAATATGTCATAGAAATGTTTTGTCATATCCTAGATTATTACTTTACTATTGGATTGGCATAGGTGAGTGATATATATGCTTATTTGCGGAAAATAGCAGGTACATTTTGACTTACATGGAAAATTGTGTTACGGCATATTGTAGGAACAAAAATGTCATAAGTCGATGACTTCATGTACTTTCTTTTTTCTTGACCTTTTTTATTACTCTTTTTTTTTATTTTAAGTGTGCCACAGAAGTTTTGCTATAGAAAGACATAGGGAGAATGGCGGGAGGATATTTTGAGAACATATTTTCATTTCATTCCATTATATGTATTATATCTTTCTCCACCATATTTGTTTTTTTAGTCCTAATTATTTTAACATATGTCATAGAAATGTTTTGTCATATCCTACATTATTACTTTACTATTGGATTAGCATAAGTGAGTGATATGTCTATATTTCTGAGATGAGGTATTATGTACAGTATTTACATTAGTCGGACTATTGTCCTCATCTTTGTCGCCATATTTGTCACAACGTTTCGGCCGTTGTACACTCCGGCCTTCTTCAGGTGGTTGGAATTTCGAACTGAACCCTTTATTTCGATCACTGGGGTAGACTGTTCTTCACCTGGAAATCTGTCATTAGTCAAAGATCCCCATATTTGATTTTGTTGCATGCAGACAAGTTTATAATATACTGATATTTTTCTTTATTAAGTTTCGCTTTGAATGTTTACTCAACTGAAAAAATAAACTTCCTTCATCAATATTTTCCCTGATAGGCTTTATAAATATTTTTAGAAATTAAATCAGTTCATTGTCAGGGAACTGTGTCAATATAACACAAATTCTAAGAAGCTAAGTGGAAGATTGTAATGACAGAAAAAAATAATAACAAGGAGACAAAAATTTCACCATCTCTGAAATTAGATTGAATACTTGGAATCACTAGGCCATAGTCATATTTCATGAACCAATCAGAAAAAAAAACTTTCAACAAGGATATGACAGCTTAGTCTGACCAACTATTTAGAAATTGTTCTGACAATGATATGAACATCATAAACTGCTGAGCTAATCAGACAAGATTTGTTCTCAGCCAGGATATGAATTCATATTATGGATCAATCAGAAGGCAAGCGGCAATTTTTAAATGGATCTGTCTCACTCGCATACATATATAAGAAGATAAACAGTTGAAACAGATCAGAATTGATGAATTAATTTCATCAATTCCCTGATGCTGCAATCACTGAAACATATCCAGAGATGAAATACAACATTTATGCATGACTTACATGGTCTCACATTGTCACACATATATACATACCTTCTTCTACTCTTTATACAGATAACTACAACATCCACACGGTTCCACATAGACATACACATATGCATACTTTATTCTATCATTTACACAAGTGACTATTATTTCTTAATACACGCATATTTACATATACATTATCCAGGACACTTTGTATGCATCAGGACATTTATTTTTGAACACTGGAACTTCCAAATTATTACTCTATCCTTCTGTATATATACTGAATTATATATATATATTTTTTTAATATTACCTTTCTGTGGATTTTCTTTCAATCATTATACAAGGCCATATATTTATATGGTGGGAACCCATGTTTTCATGAGATAACCTCACCCTAGCTACTATAAGATAAATCTGGAAGATGTTAGAATACACAAAGAACATTCAAATTGACAAGTTAACTTTTTGGTATTATTATTAGAGAAATAAATGTACAAATTGTCAAAAGATATTGGCTCCAAGAACAAAAGACATTTTCTATTGGATAAATCACCATATAACAATTTTTGAATGATGTGTTTCCTTTCTTTTACAGCAAAACCATGTCTTGGTCTTGTGGTTCCTAAATTTGGTAAGATAAGACCACAAAAGTGCTTAAAAACAAGAGAGGATGTAAAAACAGGCACCCAATGTCACATTCAATGCTTTCCAGGATACAAAATACAGGGTGACACTCTGCGAATTTGTCAGGAGAATAGTACCTGGTCTGGAACTGATGCTATATGCAAAGGTAACAGTATATACCCTTAATATAAACTTGTTATGAGAATTACTTTAAGTATGTATATAAAAAAACCCTTTTCTGAAATTTTTCTATAATTTTCTGTTTTATCAACAGTTTATGAAAACTTTAATATTTTCAGAAATAGTGGATTATTTTGTTGAAAAATACAAAGTGTAAGAATTTCACATTGCACTCAAAAAAGGCAAAATTAATATATAACTTGCTTAAATGTCACTTTCAGTAGCAGCTGTTCAATATAAAGTCACTACCTTTTTTTAGGATGTATATCATACTTATTTATCACATAATTAAGCTTCATTATTGCAATTAATTATTATTAACGTGTTATCATGAGTATAACACAGTGGCTGATGGAGAGGAGTGCAGGCAGATTAAGGAAATTAAGTAAATAACTTTGTAATTAGCAGTTACTAAAACAGGATTTATCTCCCTTGGGTATACATTTTTGTGAGTAAATAATTAAAAATGGCTTGGAAACAAGCATCTTTTGTTGATTGGAAACTGCTTTATTCTCCAATAATTTTAATGGTATTGCACTAGAAAAAATTACACTACAGTGTGCCATTTATGCTGCATTATGATAGTAATGACATAACTATACAGAAATTGGATCATTATATTATAGTTAACTTCCATTTACTTTTAAATCTTATGAGATCTACATATTTTTTCTTCCATCATAAACCATATATTCTCAGTCTACTAAAATGTAACAACAAAAGATATTTTTTCTGTAACTATGAGAAACTTGATAGAAAAATTTTGTTTTAAGTCAGTTCTGTGATTTCAAAGAGTTCCTCTCATGTATGTATTTCCTATTAACATAGATTTTTTCACTTTGAACATCATTTATACCTGTCTATAAATTTTGAAAAAGTTATTAATCATTCCAAGAGTTATCAGATAATTAAACTCTGCATGCTAAGGATGTTCTATGTTTTTTTCAGTAATTCTATATAACAATTGAAAGTTTAAATCCTTGCTTGAATCTCAAAGCATTGTGGAAAGATATTTTTAAAATGTTTTAAATAATGTTCTCAGCTGTCATAGTGGAGAACAAAAATCATTTAAAATTCATTTTTAATTATCATTGAAAACAGGCTTTAAAAATGTTATTGGTATCAAAGAAATTTAATACTATTTTTTCCCAATATTCAAAACAAAAAGAAGAATTAATAAAGGAAAATTATTTCCCAACACTTTTTTCAGATTTTAAACACATGTAATTAAAGTATTACTGACAGCTGAACCTTTATTACTATTTCAAAAGCTCACTGAAATTAACTGCTCCATCTCTCTCTCTATGTGCTCAGTTCCATTACAATGTAGGTAATCATGTCTCTTTTTAGTTCTTTGGTTGCTTTCAGCAAAACTTGCTCCTCTATAATCTTTTTTTGCTTTTGTTCTACCATCCATTTGCTTAAACTTACCAAATAGGTCTCTTGCTATTTTTCTATGCTTCTTTTGTCTCTGATGTACTCTTAATCCCAAAATCCCCAAATTGTTACAGCATATGAAAGCTGGAGAATGAATTAAACAAAATATTGTATTAAAAGCAATAATGATTACCTAAATGATTATCAAATGCATGGTTTGGTTTGGTTTGGTTTGGTCTGTTTTGTTTTACGGCATATCAACCCCAATAGGTTATTTAATGCTGACAATTTTTATTGCTGGTAATATTTTTCTTCATAAATGTATTGCTTGTAATATTTCTTGAAAATATTATAAGTATAGCTGGTAATACTTTTTCTTTTTCAAAAATGTATAGTTTGGTTTGTTTTACAGCATATCAACCTCAATGGGTTATTCAATGCCAACAAGATTTTTATTACTGGTAATATATTTTTTTCAGAAATGTATTGCTGGTAATTTTTTTTTTTAAATGTATAGCTGGTAATAATTTTTTTTTCCAAAAATGTATTGCTGGTAATAATTTTTCTTCAAAAAATTATTGCTGGTAATAAATTTTTACAAAGTATTTCTGATATTAAACCTATTTTTACACTTTCATAGTGTTTTCACCCCAGTTTGGAGGTTAACTATTTACCCACAGCTGGAACCCTAACAGGTGCTACCACCCCGGGTCAGGGTGGACCTGGGAACACCAGCAATTAAGAGGTGTCACCATGCTCCTCAAAACCTCCTGATCAGAGGCCTTGCTGTTGGACGTAGTTTATCGTCTTACCCAGGATGGAAATCATGCATGATTGCAATTGATAATGGCTAAATAGATAAAAAAATAATTTGCTTAAATTTTATATTTGACTTTGTTGCATGCAGTAGAGTTTATAAGTTTATTGTTGTGTTAAAACCAACAATAGTGAGAGTTTAATAACCTAAATAAATCATAGATCTTAATGATACAATCATTTAGAAACTAAGACAAATTTTATATTAATGGAGGATAATTCTTTTGCTATATTTTTCTAAACTATTTTTATTATAAATTAAATACTGACACCAACAATAAAGTTGTTTTTCAGTTGAATATATGTGGAAGTGTCTGCAAATACCAAACAATTATGGAAATATACATGCAAATCTAGAACTGAGAGATATAAGTACTGGTTCTTATTTGGGGAAAATGGTAGAAGTTGATTTATTAAATTATAGCAAAACATTTGCTATTATTCATGGATTTTAAACAAGTTTGCCACTTTATTGAATAAATTTCTTTGAAGACCATTTGATTGAGTTTAGTTCTGTTGCTAATATAACGGAACATTGTAATGCATACAAATCATCTTCTTTCTGAAAGCATTTAGCTTCTTCTGGAACTATGGCACTATGTGTGCCCTCAAATTCACTGTAGATCTAATATCTCATCTTAACACCATTTGTAATTTACCATGAACCTAACATTTATTGTGCCCATAAAGAAATACATAAATAAAAAATTAATCATACCATCACAGTGTTGTGTTCATAAAAGATAAATAAAAATTAATTATAGTGTCAAAAAATAATTATGATAAAATAATTATAACAGTTATAATTATTAATTCATCATTCTAAACCAATGAAAATCGGCCTAACTTTTCTCTTCTACACACACAAATATGTGAAATTATCACTATTGGACAAGCAGTTCACACAGACAAGTCATTAGTACATGCATCAATGAAAATTTCATCTCCTTTTCCTTTTTCAAGCAATAATAGTAATATTTATCATTTAGTGCTCAACAAAAATTCATGGTAAGAAAACCACTTATCACTAATTCACTCATTAAACCAATGAGAATCGACCCCACTTTTCTCCTCTACACACATAAGCACATGACAATCTCACTATCAGACAAGCAGTACACATGAACAGGTCATTAACACATGTGCCAACAAAAATTTAATCTCCTTTTCCTTTTACAGGCCATAATAGTAACATTTATTTTTTTAGCACTCAACAAAAATTCAAAGAAAACCCCAGTAGTATTTTTCCAAATAAATTATCTGGACACACATCTATAAAAAAACAAAACAAAAACATATGAGAAAAACTGTATACACTTTACTTATTCTTTATCATATCCTTCTGTCAAATTCTGATCCATATTTAATTTGACACCAAACACAAAATTTTATTCAATATTACTGTCTCTCTTTTCTCCAACACCACATAACAACCAGGTGATAAATAATACTTGTTTTGTAGTTTCCACGTCTTGCTGTTTCTCATTTTTACGAATATTTTTGTATATTAAATGTTAGGGGGTTTATAATTATTTATTCACAGTTATAATTCCTCTGCACTTTTAACCAGTTATAATCTAGACACAAAAAAACACATTACAACACATTCACATTTCAATCAATGAGAACAATTTTTGCCATTAACAATGCAACGTTTGCTCTATCTGTCTGGCTCAATCATTGGTGAAAAGAACAGTTGAAAAAATTGGTTCTCATGTATTCTGTTCCTATTTTAGGCAATCATCTTTATGAATGTCTTTTAAAGTAAACATTGTGATTGGTCACATATGTTTTGCTACTTGATTTAGGACTTGAAATCTTGTGCTTTTTGACTGTCACAACACCTAAGAATTTCATAGCTTGACCAAGATGGATTTCTTTTTATAACTTCTCTCTTGATAGAGGATATAAATCAATGATGACAAGTCCTCAAGCTGACCTTATCAGATCTGCATCAGGGCTGTCTAGAGTCTTCAATGTATTTCTTCATAGTTCAATATTACCTGCTGATCACTATTGAAATTTGCAACACTGTTTTCCCTTTGGATAGCTCAGAATTATTTTATTTATAATTTCTCTTTATTCATCAAATCAGCATTACAATTCATTTTAAAGTTTCAAACTTGCAAAGAGGTTATTAATCTGAGACTTTGAAATTAAGAATATGTCATACAAATGGTTGCTGCTAATTTGCATCCACACAACATGAATTGACTTTCACCCTGACTCCACTTATAGACATTGTAACTATTTAAGAAAAAAGACCTTGAAATTTCAATAAGTATTTAGTATATATATTGATAAAATATGAAGTGGCTAATAATGCAAGTTGCAGTGGGTATGTCTATTTCATTAAAGTCTTATTTCCACTCACTCAAAAATTATGGTAAATCAATATAATTATGAATATAAATACAGGATTAGTCATTTCAGTTAAAACCAAGATATCAGCAATTTTTCTCATTTTTTAAAAAAATAAACTACCATCATAGAAATTGGTGACTTTACTATACTACTACGTTTTCTCACCAAAATATTGTTGAGTTGTTTATGTAACCTATGTGTAGGATTTATTAAAAATACATCAAGCCATTCATCCACAAAAATGATTTTATATATAAAAATATGAAGAAATATAGTCTTAAGATGTGCTATATTTATGGGATAAAGTGCTCAATATCAGAGATAGAGCATGTAAATATAAAAGTGAACATAGAAGTGAACACTTAGAGGCAACAGTCTATTTCATGCTAGATGCAATTGTCAGGCCTGACGATTGCATCTAGTGAAAAACAGACTGTCGCCTCTAAGTGTTGACTTTATGTTCAATTATATATATATATATATATATATATATATATATATATGACACATTATGGAAGCATTGCAAAGTGGTTAGAACATTCTCTTTTCAACCCCATGAGACTCAGGTTCAAATTTCATCATGGTCAATTTTTCAGGAAGGTGACTTCTTGATATTATCATCTTGCGGGGAGTGTGGGGTGATCACAATGTGTGATACCTTTCGAAAATGCTTGAAAACCATAGTCTTGTGACCCAAGCCTTGTGAGTGAAATTGGGTAGCTGCAATAGTTTGTCAATGGTTTTACTTGCATAGGGTTCTTACAAATCATTCTGACCAAATTTGACTGCACAACCCTTCTTCAAACTGTTGCTAGATGATGCGCTCTCTCCCAGAAACTGTAACTAAGGCCCACTCAGCATAGTATAAATCACAGGTGGGCTCTGTGGGTGTTTAACAAGCACAAATGTGCCTGAGTAGGCTTTTGTTGTAGGGATTGGCTAGCTCCCCTAGTGAACAAGCATATTTAAAAACAAGTGGCCAACCATTATAATGATACAGCAAATTCTACTGGTGATTAAAAATGAATGCAGTAATTCAAGTTTTATTTTAGTACCAATTGCATTTGAGTTCAGTATATGTAAGCAAGGAAATTTCAGTTTTGCTTACTTTTATCCACTTACTTTACTGCTACTCCATTGATACCCTCCTTGCTTTTTTTTCTGCATTAAGAATTTTAATATCTGCAGAGAAAAAATGATAATGAATTTTGCAGCTTTTGAACTGAAAAATCTTCTAGCAAAATTCAGCATTCACTCTCTTGACTGAGCATTGAAAATCAGGAAGAAAGGGATTGTCAATGGTCATTACTTCAAATATTACTGAACAAATATTAAGTACTGAAATGAGACATGACAATGAGATAGTTAATTGAGAATATTTTCTGAGGTGTTATATATAGTAATTGCAATCACTATCTGCCTATCTGATAAAGAAGCATTTCTATATCTTCTAGTTATGGTGACACATTAATAAACATTTCAAATCTGGACAGTAATTAAAAACCATATGTCATCCAGTGACATGTGAATCATAAACTCACTAATGTTCAAAGTTAGCATAGGTTGATTACATATCTACTTGTTTAGTTAAATTCAATCTCTTGTAAGAATGGCGTATTAAGAATATTTTCTTAGATCAGGCAATGACGCATTATTCCTGATATAATAGTTTATTGGGAATAGCATTATGTTTGGTTGCTTTTACTATAACATTTTTATTTCATCAGCTTTCTTCAAATCAGAGTTGTGTTGATATTCTTCAAGGCTTTGAATAAATAAATAATTCACTGGTAATCCCATTCAATTAAGGAAAGACTGGAGAATTAATCAAGAAAATAATTTAGGTAAAAAACAACAAGGATAAACAAACATCTCTTTATAAACTATCACATTATTATTATTATTATTATTATTATTGCTGAAACAATTTTGATTTTGATTTCTTAGGATAAAAGGGAATAAAATCCAAAATGTGTGTTAAAACTGAAATAAGTAAATGGTAAATGTGATGGTTATATTGGCTCATTCTTTTTGGTAGCCTGTTATTTCTGCAAGAACAAAGAGACAAACTGAGAAAGAGATATATTCCTATTTTGCAGAAATCAATGAATGTAAAATAGACAATGGAAACTGCGGTCATAAATGTGTGAATGATGAAGGCAGTTATCACTGTGAGTGTAACTTTGGCTACACCTTGCATACAGATGGACGTACCTGTCTATGTAAGTAACAAAAATGTCATTTTATCTTACTATTCTTTTTCTTAATTTATTTTGATATATTTTATAATTTATTTCTCTTCTTTTTGTCATATTTACTAATATGAATTAGTTCAGATCACAGAACTCATAAAAATTTATAAGAAATTCCTTTACAATTCAAGTAGTAAACTCTAGAAATTTTACTTATATATAAAGCTCAAAGTACGTGTATGTATCTGCTGAAAATTCTCAAAATTTTATATGTATATATATATATATATATATATATATATATATATATTATAGTAAAAAGAAAGAACAGTAAGATATATAATCCGGTTTTCTTAATTGATATTTTTATTTTTACAAAACAGTGCTCAATGTAAATTTACAGAGCATAAATATTATAAATAAACTGATTTAAAATATGGTTTCTTCGCTACACAGGAATTACCATGTTTCAAAAACTGAAGCTAAAAACTTAATATAATTATATTTAAAGGATTAGTTCTGTTTCATCTTCAAGCAATTTTTGGAATCTAATTATATATATATATATATATATATATATATTTGGCATCTACCTCTTTGCAGGCACATGTTCCCAATACTGTGTTTATTAAATGTGATTTCAACAGAATTTATTTGCATGCCCACTGGAATGGAATATGTCACAAGGCCAAGTTTAAAGTGGGTGTTCAAAATCTTCCTGGGACTAGTGTCAAAAATTGCTCAAGCTCACTTGACATTTCCCCTTTTGGAGGTACCTCAGGTGTAAGGGATTAATCTTACCCATCTTCCATAGAGTGGTAATGCCAAGTGAATGATTTCATTTGAATTTATCTATGCACCCACAGAAGTTTAAAATAGGAGTACCACATGAACATTGGATTAGACTCATACTCCTTTGACATTTTCCGTTTTGGAGATGTCTTAGGTGTCAGAATTTAATCCTAACTCTCTCTCCCTCTTGTGGGAGATATTGCGTGGGCAGGGGCAACCCCTGGAACTGAGCATGATAATAATTGTAAACCTGTGTAAAAATGTGGTTTTATCATTTACATCTACCAGCATAAGTCTTATATATTGTTCAACTTATTGATTTTTGTTTAATGGAGATAGCAAATTATATATTTAGCTTTAAAAAATATTTTTTGAAAAATTACTAACTTTTGTTATTCATTTCCAGTCTTCTCTTTTGTGATTTTTATAAGGAATTGCTTTATCAATGGCTTTTATAATTAAATTACTTAGTTATCAAATAAAACCATTTTCTACTCTGATAGTGGTAACAACATTAGCATTTAGATCACTGCTTGGAAATAAAGAGAAGATAGCAATGTTAGCAACCATCCACATTTCTCAACCTCACTAGACAGACATGCTTGCAGAGGTGTTGAGGTCTCCCAATGCAACTCACGCAAATCTATACACATACACACATCCCCCACAAAAAAACAAAAAGATAACATAGACTTAACACACACATCCCCTTCCCAGCAAGCAATAAAATTGTTAAAATGACTGAGGAGAGAATCCTGAGACTCATGAATCTCCCAGCTTCTATTTAAAAAAAAAACTTGTAAAAGGCTATTTAACCAATACAAGGACTGACCAAAATCAACAATAAAAAAATACAAATGAGAACTACAAAGTTCACTTTTTTCAGAGACAGTCATTCACTCCTGTAATTCACAGCAACTAACAAGCAGGGACTTTTTTCTCCTGATGATGGCCATACTGGCCAAAACTAGTTGAGGAACCTAATTTAAATAATAAAACAAAAAATATTAATATACAAATTTCTGAATGTCTGAAATTTTAATTTTTAATATTTTTTATTGTTCAAGACATGCATATGAGATAATGATATGTATTTTTATATATCAAGAACAATATTGAGGAAAAATGTATGACAAAGTGGAAAAAGTTTTCTTGTGATGCATTTTTGTTATACCAGAACATTACCTATTCTATTGTAATAGACTCTCCCACACATAATAAGTAGTAGTAGTAGTAGCAGTTGCCAGTGAGCTCAGTGGAGTTGAGTGAGTCAGTCAATGTCGGACATTGAAGTATCAACCATCACCGCTAGATTGCTGCATCATTAACTATTATTGCAAGTTCCTAACGTTTTGTACGTCGGACCCTTTTTAGGACCGACTTATTGAAATACAAGCCTCCACTGTGAAAACTACTTTACAACAATTTTGTCCTTTAAGACTTTATCAGACTAAATTTCTTATGATTGTGTCACTATACATGTGCATGAACGAGGGATGCTGGGAATTTTAAATTTTTCTTTTTTTTATTTAGCCGACTTCATTTAAATTATTTTTCTTTTTCTTTCCATCACTTTTGTTATTAGATATGCCACACTGTGATAATAGCTGTTCTACCAGGAATAGTGAAATGCTGTAAGAGCCAGGGATCAAATTTACTGTGGATGACCTTGTGATTAAGGCACTCTTTAGATATTTTCGTCATAGTGAATTGTTTTCTCCTTTGATCAGAGTCGCATTTTTTACATCAAAATTGTGGTCAGTCTTGTTACGGTGGGCAACCAACACATTTGATTTACTGTTTTGTAAAATGTCCTTTTTGCATTCATATAATCTTTTATTTAGATTTCTTGAGGTTTCTCCACTGTATGTTTTGTTACAATTATTACAGGTGATCAAGTAAATTCCTCCTTCAAGTTTTAGCCTATTGTTTTGTTTAGTATCGACTAAGTCTTTTATTGTTTTAGATGTAGTAATAACAAATTTTATATTGAATTTAAATAGATTCTTTTTATATATATATATATATATATATATATATATATACACCTATTCAATGACTCCAGTGACTGATATACATATATCATGTCACATAGCTGCCATTATCCAGGTAAACAGTGAGCAGCATTTTACTAGGTAGTTGTCTCTAATACTGATATCAGCAACTGTTTGGATTAAGATTACTCTATCTTTGCAAGCAGCTATTAAGGATGAAATATTCTGCCAATCAAGTAGATTCTCATTGTGTGAAGATTAGCAGACATTTACCTACAATGATTTTCTTATCTAAATTAGAAACATTACTGATAAATCAAAATATCTACTTTAAAGTTAATACTATCTTTTTGTTATATATTAGTATAGATTCTTGTATATTTTGATAGAGAAAATAGAACTTTGCTCTTTGATAGCTACAGGTCTCTTTTGTAGTATCAACATTTTTCTGATTTCTCTGGAGTGTTAAGTTTTTAACAAATGATTCAATTAATATGTTTGTTTTCATAAAAGTGTTAAAAGATTAAATAGGAGATATAAAATAAATTTTCCAATATTAACTTTCTGATTTTTCTTCATGTAGCAAATCCATGCCCTGCTGTTGTAATTCCAAGTTTTGCCAAAGTATCACCACCAGAATGTCTGGGTGAAGATATCAAAGCAGGTACCAAATGTTATATCCAGTGCTTCAAAGGTTATAAAATACGGGGTTCATTTTTACGGATTTGTCAAGCGAATAGTATTTGGTCTGGAGTCAATCCTATTTGCAAAGGTAAAACTATTTTGTTCCTCTACCGCTTGTTGCATTTAAAATATTCAGTTTTGATTTGAATGAAAATTCTATTATGAACCAGTGCTTGAATTTTTTATTTAACCTTAAAGAATTTGAAAATTAATTCATAAATATTTTTTCAATATTATCAACAATAAAAAAATAATTTGTTGGCATTAAATAACCCATTGAAGTTGATATGCCATAAAACAAACCAAACCAAACCAAACCAAACCCATAAATATTTTTGTAGTGAACGAGATAATCAAGTACCCCGGAAAAAAGTTTGTGTTTTGTGTGCGATCTGCGGGGAGGGATTGCCAAAAGTAGTCAGCAAAACTCTTATAGCGACTTACCTCGTCAACCCAAGCGACAGCGCGTGGCAATGTATTCTGTGACGAAAAAAAAAAACAAGTCCGTCGCAGGAGTCGCTATAAGAGTATATTAATATGCAAATTACGGAGCATCCTATCCCAGCTGTCGACACTCATGGGCGGGCCTCTTTATTCTTAAGCTTCTCCGGAGCAGGGCGACTGTTGGAGGAGATTGTGTGTTATATTCTGAGGTTTCTTCTGATCTGACAACCTCATGTGCAGAGTCTTCATCATCTGAAGAATGTTCTGAAGATTCTTCTTCTGAGGATTGTTCTGGTCTGACAACCTCACGCACAGAGTCTTCACCATCTGAAGAGGTGCTAGCCCTACCTCCGATGGTAATTATTTGTTCACTTTCTGAGCACTCACTGCTAGTGTCACTTGTTGACGTATCTGTACCTACATAGTGACGCAAGTCCTTTATGTGTCTTGGTATGCCATCAACCAGCACAGAACGCGAGTTACTTAGTCCAGTGACATGCCCCACCCGGTACTGGGTTGTACACTGGGTATGTGGAGATTTCACCCACACGCGATCGCCAAGTCATACGGCGCTCGTTCGTTTATTTTCCTGACGCATTACAAGTGATTTTCTTTCTTTGTGTTGTGAAAGCCACAAATTTGCTTTGAGAACGCTTACTCTTCAAGCTATTTCGGCGTTTACTTTGTCTCTCGCAAGATGGTGGAAAGACCATTCGATATAAAACTGATCCCCGAATTCAGTGGTGATACTAGTGGACAGTCTGTGTTGAATGGATCGAAAAGGTGGAACTGGTCTGCGAATTATGCGAGATATCGAAGATTGATCGGATTCTTCCTCTACAATTGAATGGCGGTGCCCTTGCTGTGTATAGGCAGCTGAGTAAAGAACAGAAAAGTGACATTGAGCAAATAAAGCACGCTCTACTAACCGCGTTTGGAACTGACCGGTTCGTGGCCTACGACCAATTCCAGGCACGGCGTCTGCAACCTGGTGAGACAGTAGACGTATATTTGGCAGAATTAAAGAAGCTCGCCGTTCCAATCGCACCGCTTCCTGAAGAATGGATGACATGTGCCTTCATATCTGGATTGCCCAGTCATGTTAAGCAGATACTCCACGCATCATCCAGAATGGAAGACCTGACGCTCAATCAGTTGTTGACCAGAGCCCGTGCTGTCATGATCAACGAAAAAGAGGCTGATGAACCAGTGGCCGCAGTTATTCAACCAATTGAAGTCAAAGAAGGTCCGACCCCAGCCATTCGTCACCATGGCGTTGCCACCTGCTATTGGTGCTCTGGGCGAATCATTTTGCCAGAGACTGCCGCTATCAAAAGAAGAAAATGCGCAGCGGGTCGGCGCGAAAAGGCACGTCTCGATCTCGACGATGTTTTCAATGTCATAAAGTAGGTCATATTGCCTCTAAGTGCCCGGGAAATGGAATGGGGGACGCGACGTCAGCGCCAGTCTCTTCCCGCACCGAGCATGAAAGTGGCGCTCTCTGTGATTAAAGGTGCGCATCAATGGAATAATGCGTACCGCTTTAATAGATTCGGGCTGCTCTCAGTCACTCACCAACGGTTCGATTTGCCGACAGTGGAGCAGACAAAAGATGGACGTACTAACAGCTGATGGAAAGGCTCTTAGAAGCTGGGGAGTTGGAAACATCAACTTCAGTATTAACAACAGTGACCTTGTCACAGTCAGTGTGTTGGTCATGGACAGCGCGTTATTAGGTTTCGATCTGCTCCTTGGGATGGACATTATTAAGGAGCTGGGCGGCGTACGCATTACAGAGGCAGGCGAAGTCAAGTTTTCTGATCCGCCCATCTGTGCTACTTTGAAGATCAACGAGCCTGACTTTAGCGCAGAGTTCGACCAAAGGACGAAGACATGGACAGCATTTTGGAAATGGTCGGAAAATAACCCACCAGAAAAGCTCCAGAACCGAGTGTCAGAATATTCGGTGCCAGAGCAGCGTCAGGAAGAATACCAAGCGCGAATTGCAGGTGTGGCTGGATAACGGATGGCTGACTCCATATCCCGAGGAAGAGCTTGGTCCTCCAAGAGGCCTCATCCCGTTGATGGCCGTGGTACAAAAAAGAACAAGGGAAAGGTGCGCCCTGTACTAGATTATAGAGAACTGAACGAACATGTAGACACATACACAGCTCATGCTGATGTGTGTGCACAAAAATTGAGAGAATGGCGAACGAAGGGATCCAATGTCTCTGTGATTGACCTTCGAAAGGCCTACTTGCAGGTACGCATGCACCGGTTACTGTGGCCATTTCAGACGGTGATCCTGAATGGGACGAGGTACTGCTTAACCCGAATGGGATTCAGACTCAATGTGGCGCCGGCCATTATGAAAGCCATCGTGGATGCTGTGCCATCCCAGGATGAGACAATTTGTCAAGCGACGTCAGACTACATTGACGACATCTACATCAACGAAACCTTAGTACCCGCTTCACAGGTGAGAAAGCATCTTGCTGACTTTGGACTCGAATGTAAAAACCCAGAATGACTGGAGGATGGTGCTCGGGTGCTTGGCTTGCAGGTCTGGGGGAAGCACAACATGCTTTACTGGAAACATGGAAGTGAGCTCCCGGACATTCCCAAACACATGACCCGACGCAGCGTGTTTTCGTTATGTGGAAAGCTGGTGGGACATTTTCCGTGGGATGGTGGATCCGCATTGCAACTGCATTTATTAAACGTAGGGTGACTGCTGTCACTTCCGGCTGGGATGACACAACAAATGATGCCCCCTTAGACACATGATAGCGAAGTCATTACTAGGGGTGCGTCAAGACGACCCCGTGCACGTGGTAAATGGTGCGTTGACAGATGTGAATTTAACGTCTGGGTCGACGCGAGCTCCCTTGCAACAGGAGTGTCTCTTGAAGTAGGTGACACTGTTGTGGAAGATGCCTGTTGGTTGCGTCCCGAGAAGGAAAATTCGGGCAGTTTTGGCCACGGCGTTCGTGAGTTATTTTCCTGACGCGTTACAAGTGATTTTCTTTCTTTGTGTTGTGAAAGCCACAAATTTGCTTTGAGAACGCTTACTCTTCAATTTTTTCAGTAATTTCTAAACTTTAAAATATTTTATCAGAACAAAATATGTTGTTTGCATTTAAAATACTGTGTAATCTAATTTTCTTATTAATTACCAAAACAAAAATAAAAATGTAATAATCATACTATAAAAGGAAAGTTTGTTTACGATAGTACAATTATCAATGGTTAGTAATACAAGTGTTACTGATGTTGAACTGTACTATTTCCTGACCATTGACAAATCCCTTTTCTATATTTTTAATGTACAATATACAGAATGAACGTAGAAACTTGCTTAAATTCTGAGCTTAAATCATCAAAGTTTTTTCTCAGTACCAGGAATATTTTTATTTCTTCAGCCAGAAAATGTGTAAAGTTAAACAGATAAGCAAAGACTCAGTGGGTAGCAATAAGTAAAAGTGAAAGCAAACATATACTAGGCTTAAATGCAGTTGGTTCTAATATACAAAAGTGACTATTGTTTCATTTCCAACACCACTGCCAGAATTTACTGTGTCACTATATATTTAATCATTAGAATAAATGATATTTTTGATACATTTATGATATCATAAGTTATATAAAAAGTAAAAATTAAACACAATAAACAACAAGTTGAAAATAATATTTTCAAAACAAGAAAGTAAAAATTTTAACATACTTAAAAAAAATAATGTTTAAGTTAGTTTGTAAATGAGTACAATGTTACCTTGACTTAATAAAACTAGCCTCAGGTCATTTTACTTGAGTTTACATCAACTGTTAAAAATATTATAAATGTCAAAACACTAAAATAACAATAAACACATATAAAATTATATTCAAATAAATTTAAAAATAACATTATGTATATTATATATCATAGAATTATCAAAAACAAAACAATTAGTATAATAAAGTATGTTCAGCAGATGTTCATATTTCAAATTCCTGACACCATCTGACACTCATGCATTTTTTCTGCTCCAACACTGATTTTGAATTCAGACTGGTTTACATCTGTGCTCTGCTGTTGACGTTCTTTCAGTTACATTTCAATTGTGATTTAGAATACATTTTTGCCAATGGCTCTAAATTAAAAGTCCCAGTGTGAATGCTAATGCTAAGCAAAAAGCTATATCATTGGAAGATAAGGTGGAAATTAATTATTTTATTCATAATAATGTACATACATATCATAAATACTGTAATAGGCAATGGGGAGTGCTTATTTGTGGTTTATAATGAGGTTATTTCAACTTGAGTCATTTTTCGACCTAAGTCATAAACTCTGGAACCAATTAATGATGTAGGGCGAGGTATACCTGTACTGTAAGAAATATGGCTTATTTGTGAATAACCAAAGTATTATCGAATTTATTTTATGAAATTCCTTTATTATTTCAAGCTCAAAAACAATACAAACAATGGATTATAATATTAAACATGATTGAATAACGAACAAGTAGGAAGCCTTTATAAATTTGACATGTTTCACTATTTATTTAGTTTTATCAGAAATTTTATGAGTGGAATAATTTGTTACAGCTCTTAATGTAGATGTCACTTGTATATTGATATTAGTGTTATGTGTGTATCAAT